AAAAAAAAAAAAAAAAAAAAAAAAAAAAAAAAAAAAAAAATGGAATATTAGAATTAGCAATAAAATTTAAAAGTAGTAAAAAGATATTAATCAAAAATAATATAGATATCAAAAAAAAAATTTTTTTGATAATAAAATGATATAAAATGAATTATCAGTTTACAATTAATAAATGTATAAATTATGTTTAAATATCAAATATTTATAAACAATAAAATCAATTTAAATTCAATATTTTTTTGAGATCTATCCTAATAATATTTTATTTTATCAAATATTAAATAAAATTTTATAATTAAATTAAATAATAAAAGAAAAGAAAACGTTCTTCTCTGTTTTTTTATCTTAAAAAAAAAAAAAAAAAATGTTTTTCAATCTTAAAATACTAACATCACAGACAGTTCCATTAATTAATGTCACAATCACATTTATTACGAAAGAATTATAATAAATAAATAATCCTTTCATATACAAGGTAATAAATTTAGAGGTAATAAATTAAGATGGTATGATTAAATGTTAATATATAATAATCATAAATATTGCTGTATCTTGAGTAATATAATATATATTAATATATATATTAATTTTATCATAATAAATATAGATAGAGATTTTCACGCAATTAAATAAAGCTATATTTATAAGCTAGTTAAAAAAATTCCATTAGGAAAAGATAAATGATTTTAAAAAAATATTTTTCAAATGCAATGAAATCAATTTTAAAATATATTTTCTATATTCTATATTATTTGACATTGAAATCTTTATAAATAACAATTCAAAAAGAAATTAAATAAATCCTCCATTAACTAAAATTATTTATGTACGATAAATCCTTTCGTTAAGAAAATTGATAGTTACGAAAATAAATAATAATTACAGGCATTTAAATTGAATATAATATATTTAAGTTAGAGACCATTACTTTATATTATTATTTCATATATAAACGTGCACTTTCATATTCCAAACACATGGATATTTAATTTTACTTTATTTTTTTTATGTTCAGTCATTCCGTTTTGAAACTTTATTAAGAGCCATCACATAATCGAAAAATAATTACCTATAACCGATGTACATCTAGGATTGATTATTCCACTGGGCAGAAGATGAAAATGGAACTCCGCACCATCTACTACTACAGTATGCCCGGCATTGCTTCCTCCCTGCAAAATTAAAATTCTTCTTTTGCTCCAACATAGGTACTATTTTTTTTATTTTTCTTTACTTTTATTTTATTTCTTTTTTTTTAACATTTTTAACATTTTATTTCAGACAAAAGAAAAAACTGATTAAAATTATTTAAATATCAATTATTTCCAAATAATAATTGTGAAGGAAGAATCAGAAGAATTTTTTTTTCCAAAACGAAAATTTTTCCATATAATTCAATAATATTCTGTACAGTGTATTACTGTTGTAGAAGGCATATATTTAAAAAATGCAAAGTGCTCGTTATTCAATGGTCTCTTTATATCTTTATAGAATATAAAAATATATATTTAGTTTTACCTTTATCTTTATAAATGATATAAATTACAAATAGAAAACAAAAAATGTATATATAAAAATAAATAATAAATAATAATAATGTCAATACAAATTAAATTAAATACAAAATTAATAATATTTAATATATTAGTGAGATATAAAATGATTTTTTTTATATATAATTTCCGTGAAAAATATTCTAGTTAATATTATGTTTTAATTTTTTCATATTGAATTTTGAGAGAGACTTTAATAAATTATTAAAGATAATTATACAAATTTTATATGTTAATTATTATTTTATTTAACAATTATTACTAAGCAGAAATGAAAATGGAATTTTGCTATCAGAAATTTCAAAAATTTTAATGGTAAAACAATAATTATTATTTGTTGAAGATTATTTTTTATTACTCCAAAATTAAACGTAATTTTAAACGAATGTTATACGCAAGACTTTGAATAAATCTTGACAAGGTTGCGTAATTTTCCTCTGTTAACTGTGTAATTGACTCCGCAGTTTACGACATCTACGATTGTTGAAACGTTTTGTCAGAAATGATCAGAATGAATAATATTGTTAGTAATACGTTAAAATATCTCGTTCAAAAATGTCTTTTATCTTTAAGAAACGTGTTACTTAAAGATTATATTTATTAACGAAATTGAATATTTTTATGAATATTTTTTTATTCTATCTATGTTGGAATAGATGTAAGATAAATGTTGAAAATAAATGAAACTGCAAATTAAAAACGGCTATGAGTAATACTTGTGCTAAATCTATCTTTCAGCATATATCTATATAACACGTGTTCTTTTTATGACGTGCAAGTCGAATATTATGAAACAAAAAATGAAATAAAATGGCAATGCCAATTGGCATCATCCATAGTCATATCAACATCACATGTGATGATATACGGGACAATGAACGTGTTAAGATCAATGTTTCCATCTTTAGTTTACAAATATGTATGTAGTTATCAAATAAAATATCTTTTTGTAAAAATGATTATTAATTTAACTTTTAAAAAATAATTATTTTGATTACTAAAAATATCAAATATTGAAAATATAATTTAAAATTAACTAATTGCAATAAAACTTCTTCCAGAAAATATTGAATTAAAAATCTTTTCATTTTTGGAAGCCAAATTATTTTTTGGTTCTTCAATTATTTGATTTCAGTCTTTTTTAGAATTTTATTTTGTTATTAAAAAAAAGAGAAATTCTGAAAAAAATATTATAATGTAAATATATATATGATGATTTTGAAATAAAATAAAAAATTACAAGAAGATAATATTATATATATCGATATTTTACTTTTATAGATTTTTAATGAAAAAATTTTGATTTACTTTGTTGTGATATAAATAAAAAAAATAAGGTTTTACAAAAGTTAAATTTTAATGATTTAAAAAATAAAATATCGCTTATGTTAATATTAACCGATATACATCATTGAGAAATTGAATATTGTATGTCATATACATTATGTCATGTACATATATTTATAGTACATATTTATATCTATATTATATTTATATCTACTATTTAAAAATATTATTAAGACACGATTATTACTAATTTTATAGTATAAATTTGATATTATGTGAATGAAATATGTTTAGCTTGTTGTTTTTAAAATATTTGTTGAATTTATATAATTTATGATACGATAAAAGAGATTATATAGCGATAAAAGAGATTAGCACCATAAGATGGTTTTGAGTTCATTATGAAAAGTATTTTCGAAATATTTATTGTCATTGTTATTACTATTACATGTTGTCTATTTAATATGAATAAATTTTATATTTTTTATATTTACATTAATTTTTTTGCAAAATTGAAAAATCGTATAGAATATTAAAATTAACCTATCGCGTAATTTTGATATTTATAAATACTTTTTAATAAATAATAATTAATTATATTTAATTTTTAATTATTTCATATGATGCTAATTATATATATTGATATAGATTTATTAAAATTATTGTTAAAAAAAAATAAAATTTCAATGGATTAAATTGCGAAAAATAAATAATGTAGTAAATTGCAATTAATTTATAAATTTAATTGTAAATTTAATGATGGAAAAGTTATTCATTAAATTCAAAGATGGAAAAATTATTATTATTATAGATTATAAACAATCCTGAAAATGCAAATTAAATTTAATGAATCATGCTAATTATTATATATATACTTATATATATACTATACGAACAACATATATAATAAAAAAAATAATTTAAATAAATAAATATATTTCTATAAAAATGATAAATAGGTGATTATAAAAACAATATAATGGAATGTGACAAGTATTAAATTACTAAATTAAAACTAATTAAACTTTAATCAATATAATAAAATATAAAAAAAATGATATGTAAATAAAATGAAATGCATAAAATACAAAAATAAAAAAATTATTATCATAATTATAGAATTATATAGAATATATAATGTAAGTAAAATAATAATAATATTATGAAAGCTAAAAATATTTGTATGGAAGCTTTCTAATAATTTTATAAATGTTTTGTAAACGTAATACACACACATATATATATACGTTCATATTCAAGTTTTAAATTTATGCTTTGTTGTAATACAATATTTATCAAATAAAATCATGTAATTTAATATTAGTTTCTAAAAATGTAGTCTAACCTATCAAGAAAAAGAAATGGAATAGTAATATTTAAATCATAATCATTTTATAATTATATTTATATTCATAAAAATAATATATTTGAATTAAAATTTTCACATATATTTGAAAAAATATGATATTCTATCTCTTTAATATTATATTATATGTATCAGTTTTAAAATTTCAATGCCAATTGAAATAGCTTCGTGCGTTATGTAATAATATTATAACATATATTTTTATACATGTATTTATACTTTTATGTATATATTGATTTTTATGCTTATATATCATATAAATCTATATGCTAACAGTTTAAGATTAAAATTATTTGACTTCAAGTCAATCAAAATAGACAAGTTTTAAAAAAAATTGAAAAATATCTTTTTGAATTTTAGAATAAAATAAATTTCTGTGTACATAAATAAATAAATAAATAAATAAATAAATAAATAAATAAAGTTAAAAAATAGAAAAAAAATAGAGATTTTTATTATTGTGAAAAAAATAATATAATATAAAATTTTGATAAATATAGAATAAACTTGTTATAAAAATGAGAAATACGTAATGTATATAAATTAATTTCAAATTTGTATTCCTAAAAAATTATACTCTTTTCAATATTTAAATTAAATTATAAAAACATATAAATTTTTAATTTATTAAAATAAGAAAAGAAACATTTATAGTCACGTGACATATATGTATATAAAAAAATAAGGAGGGAAAGAAGAGAGAGAGAAAGAATGATTGCTACTATTTAAAATAAAATAATAAAAATGGAAAATAAATTAATGAATTAACATTTTACTATAATATAATAAATCTTGTAATTTTAAATATAATTTAAATGTATATTATAAAAAAATTCTGAAAAAAGAAAACGAAAATGAAAAAATGGCGAACTCACCTGACACCTGCAGACGACGTCAGCATCCATAGCAAGCATATCGACGACCTTGCCTTTACCCTCATCGCCCCATTGCGCTCCAAGAACAACAGTAACTTTGGTTGTAGCGTTTGACACACGTTGTTTCTTCCTTGGTGATGCGAGAACGCTGTCCCCATTTGCTTGTTGAACGGAACGTTGCATTTTCGAATGTGAAAATATTGGCAATTTTTCGAGTAATTGCACAAATTACCCGCGCATGTATACACCTCGAAAACTACCGCGCGACTACTAAAACATAGACTTGATTGACTTAAATTTCTTCGACGAATGAAGAGACATCTAGAGGGAAAAATTAAAAATGATAGAAAATTGAATAAATTTATGTAGAATCATAAACAAAATATAAAATAGATCCACTATTTTACAGGAACTTGTATATTCTATGTTCTGAATTACTGATCGAGTACAGATCACAGACAAAGTATAGAATAGATTCAACACCCAATACATTTTTTGTCTTGTATTTCAAGAGCGCTTTTACCATTTTATTATCATTGTCAATGTTATCGATTCCGTTCGATAGAAAGAGAATAAGATTGCAACGTTAATAATGGTTGGAATTGAAACTAAATTTTAATATAAAATTGTAAATTATAAATGTAACAAGTATTCTGTTGTAAAATATCTTGTGGATATGTATGAGATATTGTATTTCATATAATTATTATAAAACAAGTTATTGTGATACTTTCATACTATTATTATATTTCTTAATTACAAGAAAATTACAATTACAATTACAAAGAAAATGTTGTTTTTATAAAACGAGATTAGATTTATTTCTATTCTGAAAATATATTATAAAATTGAAAATGTAATATTTATATTTTTTATATTAAAAATTAAAACATTGTAGTATTAAAAAAGAAAAATATAATAAAAGTATACATAATTGACTCCTGTAAATACATCATTTATGGTCACGCGTTATGAATAATTATAGACAAGAAGAGTAAATACTCCAAGAAAATAAGAATTGACTATCAGCGCCATCTCTTGAATAACCTTCAAAGAATTAATTCTAGAAACTAGATAAATATAAAAGTCAATATATGAAAATATTGGTTAATTTATTTATTAATTTATAAGTAATTTAGATTTATATTAATTGAATCCAAATGAAGAAGTGAAAAAATAATAATATTATTACATAAAATAAGTATATATATTTTTATATATTTTTTATATATTAGTACAAAATATACGTCGTTCTTTGGCACGTCGATTTTGAAACCAAATTTTCACCTGTAATATATGCAGTTATAATTAATTTTTCTCCTTAAAAAAAAATTATGATATTTAAAGATAGAATAATGTTTAAAAAAAATTAATGATTAATATATGAAACATTAAAAATACCCTATTAGGCAGAAGGTTTAAAATATTTGATATCTTCAATACATCTTTTTTTGAAAGATAAGCACTATTTTGAAATTGTTGTTCAAGATAATTTATTTGAAATGATGAAAATGGTATTCGAGGATGAAGACTTGGTTTTCTTCTATTTTTTCCAATTGTTGACTTTCTAGGAACTTTTGGAGGTTTATATCTTGTATATCGAAGCCATTCTAATTCTTTTGTATTTTTCTCGATATTTGATAAATTTGCATAATATTTTTTTTCATCATATTGTTTGGAATTCGTTTCACATTTTTTTTCCATATTTATTTCACTTTTTCGTTTAAAACATTCACTATTGCTTTCACTGAATTTATCATTTCTACACCCACTATTTTTTAGATACATTTTTTCCATAATTTCATATGGTCTTGTTAAATTCAACATAGAATCTTTTTTAATCGACTGAAAATTATTTTTTGTATTTATTTCGACAGTATTAATATTACAATTTGTTATAAAATTCGTTTCATATTTTTCTTTTTGAAAATCAATCTTATATGTTTTTGATACATTAGATAAAGAATATTCTTTACATTGATTATTTTGAAAAAATATGTACGAGTCTGATAAAATACTTTCAATGCTAAAATCCTTCGGTTTTCTAACCGACTTCATGTCGAAACTTCGACTGTGGTTGTTTAATAAAATCCTCTTTATATATGGCTCTCCATTACATGCTACTATGATCACCCCAAATTTTAGCAACTCGTGGCTGTTGAAGCTCGGTTTCGAATTAAACGCATAGTTGAACACACGATGCTATCTTGCCGGTCCAATATAGTATACAGTGACTTTCAACTTAAATTTTTTTTTTTTATATAATATTCTTATAATATCATCTATATATATTTAAAAAATACAAAATGTTTCCAATTTTTATGCATTTTCATAATTTTAAATAAGGAAATTAAATACTAAAATTTATTATCATAAAAATTATGAATATTTTTATTTAAATTTTGAACTTCGAATTGATGAAAAAACTATATAATTGATATTAAGAATTTGTGAATATTAAAAATTTAATAAGTCTTACGAAAAAAAAGGAAGACATAAAATGCAATAAAATAAAATAATGGAAATAAAAAAATGTAAAAGAATTGAAAAATTTAGTTGATAAACACTGTTCGATTGAAAGTACTTGAAAATATCACATAATCCAGAATATATTATCCACCAAATATCGATCCATGTTCTGCTATAACAATGTAATTGATACTCTTGTAGGGAAAGAAGAAAAAAACGAACGAAGCGTATGATTTTGAATAGAGCAGATGCGATACATGAACTTCAATTAGGAGTTATAGCGTATTTTGGATTATCCGATAAGCAGACTAAAGAAAAAAAGTAAATATTTAGACATTTTCATATTATAAAAGTGTAAGATTGTTCAGTTCAACGATATCAAAGAAAATATATTGCAAGAAATTTATATAATTTTTTATATATAAATTAGATTTTTTATAACTTAAAAAATCCATATATTTTTATACATATTTTATACAAATTAAAAGAATATATATATAAACAGATATTTTTTCTTTTTTTTATTATTGATTTCCATATTTCTATTATTATTATTATTATTACCATACATTCTTATTTAAATAACTTTTAAATTAATCTAATACGTTTTTTAAATTCTATCCTATTTGTTAACAAAATTTTTTGTCGATAAGTTAGATAGCGATCATAAAGTTTCCGAAGACAACGCCATCTCGCGTTTGGATACCCGAAGCTTCGACTTGTTATTAGCATAGCAGAATGTGCAAGGAGGTATACGAACTCATAGACAAGAAAAGCAATAGTGTGCAAGAAGGACAGAGACTATCTCCCACCACTTATAAAACGCTGCATGGAAAATTCATTAATTTCTCGTTTCCTACGCATAATTTCTGTACTTTTAAGCTCTCATCTTGTAGCTAGAACTTCACGGAAGTTTCTCATATCAATTTTAACGTGAAATTCTTTTTAATTAATTATTTATTAACGATTAACGCGTTATACGTTTGAATACATCGAAGACGCCATATTGAATATTAATTAATTCCTCGTTTTCTACGCACAATTTCTGTACTTTTAAGCTCTCATCTTGTAGCTAGAACTTCACGGAAGTTTCTCGTATCAATTTTAACGTGAAATTCTTTTTAAATAATCATTTATTAACGATTAACGCATCATACGTTTTAATACATTGAAGACGCCATATTGAATATTAATTAATTCCTCGTTTTTTACGCATAATTTCTGTACTTTTAAGCATTCATCTTGTTGCTAGAACTTCACGGAAGTTTCTTAAATCAATTTTAACATAAAATTCTTTTTAATTAAGTATTTATTAACGATTAACGCGTTATACGTGTTAATATATCGAAGACGCCATATTGAAAATTAATTAATTTCTCGTTTTCTACGCACAATTTCTGTACTTTTAAGCTCTCATCTTGTAGCTAGAACTTCACGGAAGTTTCTCGTATCAATTTTAACGTGAAATTCTTTTTGATTAATTATTTATTAACGATTAACCCGTCATACGTTTTAATATATCGAAGTCGCAACATTAATAATTAATTAATTCTTCCTTTTCTACGCACAATTTCTGTACTTTTAAGCTCTCATCTTGTAGCTAGAACTCTACAGAAGTTTCTTATATCAATTTTAACGTAAAATTATTTTTAATTAATAATTTATTAACAATTATTATATATTATGTCTCAATCAAATTTCCATTTTGTAATCTAATAATAAATTATCAATTTATTTATTTAATTTCTATGTAAAATTATATATAAAATATGTACATGAAATTAGAAGAGGAAATAATATTTAATACGTATGATCATATTTAGAAATAAATCTTATAATAAAAAATTTTATACGATTTTATATGATGTATTAATCATTAATAAATAATGAATTAAAAGGAATTTTACGTTAAAATTGATATAAGAAGCTTGCTTAAAGTTCTAATTACAAGATAAAAACTTAAAAGTATAGAAATTTTGCGTAGAAAAGGAAGAATTAATTAATTATTAATGTTGCGATTTCGATATATTAAAACGTATGACGCGTTAATCGTTAATAAATGATTAATTAAAAAGAATTTCACGTTAAAATTGATACGAGAAACTTCCGTGAAGTTCTAGCTACAAGATGAGAGCTTAAAAGTACAGAAATTGTGCGTAGAAAAGGAAGAATTAATTAATTATTAATGTTGCGACTTCGATATATTAAAACGTATGACGCGTTAATCGTTAATAAATAATTAATTAAAAAGAATTTCACGTTAAAATTGATACGAGAAACTTCCGTGAAGTTCTAGCTACAAGATGAGAGCTTAAAAGTACAGAAATTGTGTGTAGAAAACGAGGAATTAATTAATATTCAATATGGCGTCTTCGATGTATTCAAACGTATAACGCGTTAATCGTTAATAAATAATTAATTAAAAAGAATTTCACATTAAAATTGATATGGGAAACTTCCATGAAGTTCTAGCTACAAGATGAGAGCTTAAAAGTGCAAAAATTTTGCGTAGGAAACGAGAAATTAATGAATTTTCCATGTAGCGTTTTATAAGTGGTGGGAGATAGTCTCTGTCCTTCTTGCACACTATTGCTTTTCTTGTCTATGAGTTCGTATACCTCCTTGCACATTCTGCTATGCTAATAACAAGTCGAAGCTTCGGGTATCCAAACGCGAGATGGCGTTGTCTTCGGAAACTTTATGATCGTTGTCTATCTTACCGACAGAAATCTATTTTAAAAATTTAATTCATATTAAAAAAAAAATACATTAGATTAATATATTATTATAAT